CGCCGCTCAGGCGACTCAAACACGCGGTAGAAACAACCACCACGCCGCATGCTGTGCAGGGATATCCCGACAGGTAACCCAGGACTTGACTCGACAATGTCGTTGAGCTGTCGGCGCACAAAGTTTTGCTCCATTGCCTTGAACCAGTCAACCTTGACGTTTCCACTTGGGAGCATCGACACATGCGGGAACACAAAGGCATCCTTCGATGTCTGCATGAGAGTCGCCGCAATCTTGTCGACGTAGTCCTCATACAGCCCGCACACACGAAGGCATGGGTATGAGTCTTCATTCACCAAGTGGTATACTTGGCATTCCTTCTCAACACTTGCCTTCTTGTGCCAGCGCAAGCGAACCGAGACGTATGGACCATGCGCCGACTTGCCCAAGGAGACGTCACCCCACTTGAGGCCCAACATTTCGCCAATGCGGAAGCAGCCCAATTAGCAGCAGGAGAACAAGCAGCGAAACATAGTCCCGACGAATGGGTTGAGTCTGGCAAATCCGTTGATGAGGGTTGAGAGCTCGTCGATAGTAAGCGGATGAGCCTTCTTTTCATCGTAGACGTTGTTTTGTCGATTGTACTTTTGAAGTCCCACAACGTATTGCTTGGACAAAGATGCTTGGGCCGGGTTGGGCTCGATATGCTGGTCCTTAAAGTAAGCCACCAGGGAAGTTTTTGCGGAGTCGACGGTACGGGGTTTGCGACCAAGCGAGTAAAGATGGTGAAAGAAGTCGGTGCAGTCCTCTGTCGTGGCTGCAGCAGGGTCGAGACCGTGCTTGTGTGACACGCAGAACTCTTGGAATTGCGTCTGGTACGTTAGGTATGTTCGTCGTGTCGACGCTCCACGGAACGAGTCCTGGATGGTTTGTTTGGTGGGCACGCTTTCCATTTTGAAGAATGGGATTTTGCGAATAGTTGTGGTGTATCCGATTACATATATTTAACTGCCCAATGGCATCGCGTACATGTCAAATGTTAATTCAATGTTGCTCCCACGACAAGATCCTCGTCCAATGATTAGGCGTCAAAAGCCGTTGGCGAATCAAGTCACGATGCTTGTGTCGGGCAGCCAATGGTTCTCCTGAAATTGTCGGGTACTTGTCGGGTGTGTATTTTATGTTGACACTGCGACAGAGCTATTTTTAGAGCCGAACAGCGCTCAAAGACGACAGTAAAGTCTAAATTGGGATGTGTCTTAACCTTTCTTCCATCACTGTATTGACCTAAAACGTCCCTGAGTAAGTGGGTGGGATTTATTGCTTGCTACGATAATTACAATCCTATCGTTAACGTGAAACACGAAAGTATACAACGTTGTACACCGTTAATCGTACCAACGGTGAATGCTACGTACTGTAGGGGAGGCAGTTTTTCACTAGTGGTGTTTTGGATGTTCAGGTAGAGGTAGACATGGGGCTTCACTCGTGGTTAAATGGTGTGGTGGAGTTTTACTTAGTGGGCATTACTGGGTTGCTACTTCATAGTCGAGCAGCCCAGTAAGTGTAATAGTATCACTCCATCGTAGCTACGTAAAACAAGCAAACAAGCCGTGGGCCCTATATTTTTGCGAAGGTAATCGTTGCGAAGGTAACCGTGTTAGAGTTTTACTTTGTGAGCTGTAGTGCTGGTCATACCATACAGTTCAACTGCCTACTGAGTACGCGTCGATGCGCATGAGGCTAGATATGCCCAAGCAATTCTCGTTAATAAGTTCCACAGTTTAACCACGAGCAACACATGACATTTTCGGTGACCACCAGTAAAAAGTCAAATGGCCACAAGTTTTTATCCTATTCCCCTTACTGTAGTAGTAGTATTGCTAAACAGTACTTGTATTCAATGTAAGTTGTACCATTGTAAGTAGTAGTTCGAGTAAGTTCCTGCTGGTGGCTCCAATTTCGAATCGATTTGACAATGTCAATGAGCAATGTGAGTTAAGGTTGTTTGTGTCTCCAGCTTCATAGCGTTGTCGGATGGATGCTCTTGCTTTTACTGTTAATTCGCTAGACTTACAGTTACTGTTTGTGGCAGTGACATACACGAACACAAAAATATATTTCGACAACTTATACGTCGAAGTTCTTCGGAGCATTAATCTATACAAGTATCTTCCTATTTCCCCCACCAACTTTTGTGTCCAATTTTCAGTGAGATACGCGTAGACTTCACTTGGTTGTCGGGGTACCGGTAGTATAGTTACGTAGAATATTTTTTATTACGGGAACAATCGGATTCGAGTCGTCGACGAAGGGCTTAGTAATAGTATCAAGTTAGGGCTGCGCAACTACTATTCGTATAAACTCAAATACTCTGTTAATAATGTATTTCAAAGCACCAAATTAACACGTCACAATAAAGCCCCCTGTCCGGCCCCCAAATCAAGTACTACCTCCATCCGAAAATAAGTGATTGATTTGGGAAATTCGTCATATTTCAAAGAGTTTTGTCAATTTTTTCGAGGAAAATGTATCAGCTGGCTCGGGAAATCAAGCACTATCTTCGAGGACTGAATACGCTTATATCAGAGCTCAAATGCCTATTTAATTCGCAGTGACTTGTAGCATACAAACTCCAAGATGCTATCGGATTGAAAAAGGTACAACTGTACTTGAAAAGGATAAATACCAATGCAAAAAAAAGCCATGTCCAAATACATACAAACAATACAAGTTGCCAAAAAAATACAAAAATAATTATCTTGGAATCTTATTTTCAGCATAACTTCGTCAAATCTGCTTCGTTTTCCTTCAAATTAGCTCTATCGATTGCCGCCAAAATTACGCCAAACAGAGTAATCGCGCGTAAACCATTTTCACATGTCAAATCAACATTTCCAGTGTTCAATTTCACGTCATGCCACAATCTGTTGCTACAAAACCCAATCTCACTCCGCAGCAGCGCACAGACGTCTGCCACCATCTCCTTACTCTTGTCGCGAGAGATGGTAAGCTTCCCTACGGCTCTTTTCGCAATGTTGCGGCGCAGTTTGCCTGTAACTGGCAAACGGTAGCACGGCTTTGGAAGAGAGCTGCGTACAACCCAGGATCGAACACCCTGTGCCAAGACGTCGCCTCTCGCAAGAAGGGTCGAGCTGGTCGAAAGCTCAAGTACAGCGACCTATCCGAACCAAGATTACTTCAAGCGTGGGTTCTTGGTCCGCCATTCGATCAGCATCAAGCCACAACTGACCGAGGCCAACAAAGCAGCACGTCTTAAGTGGGCGTTCGAACGTCTTGGGCCGGACTTGATGGTGCATGACATGATGGACTACGTCCACGTGGATGAAAAGTGGTTCTACATGACTCGGGTCAAGAAGACGTTGTACCTGCTGCCAGGAGAAGAGCCGCCACATCGCAGCACCAAGTCGAAACGGTTCATCACGAAAGTGATGTTCCTGTCAGCTGTCGCGCGGCCTCGTTGGAACTACAACACGAATGAATGGTTCGACGGTCGCATCGGGACATGGCACTTTACGCAAACTGTACCGGCCCAACGGAGCAGCCGTAATCGTCCAAGTGGGACCATGGTGACGGTGCCTTGTACGGTGACACGTGACACGTACCGCGACATGCTCATTGACAACGTCATACCTGCTATCAAAGCAAAGTGGCCCAATGACAAAGCCGCACGCATCCTTCTCCAACAAGACAACGCTCGTCCGCATGTGCCTCTGTCCGACGAGAGGGTGGCTGCTGCCTGCGCCTCGGATGGCTGGGCAATCGAAGTTGTCTGCCAGCCGCCCAACTCACCTGACATGAACGTGTTAGATCTTGGGTTCTTCCGCGCAATCCAGACCTTGCAAGAGCGTACCCGGTGCAAGACAATCGATGAACTTATCGATGCGACGCTGTCGGCCTGGACTACGGTTGACGCCATGACCCTAAACTCAAACTTCCTCACCTTGCAGACGTGCTTGATCGAAGTCGTTCGTGCTGGTGGTGGTAACAACTACAAGATTCCCCCACATGGGCAAGAAGAAGTTGGCCAAGCAAGGGCTGTTACCGGAGTCTGTGGAGTGCCCGCGGGATGTGTTCAACTTCGGTCATGCGGCTATCGGGGCTACTGATTTTGATGCGCATGTCGACTTGTTGGCGGAGGAGGTCGCTTCCAATATGGAGTTAGCTAGGTTGAGCTCAAACCTTGAGCATCTCTGCCTTGCGTCATACGATGCTGACGAAGAAGGAATGGACACAAGCTGGACAGACAGCTCTGACTCGATTGACATAATTATCTGAGACTTTGGATTGGATAGTAAGTTCCTAAATATGTTGCTTTTCATGGTTTATAATTGGTTGTTGACTTTTTTTTTGTCAAATCAGAGGCATCAAAACTGAATCAATCACTTATTTTCGGATTCAAGTTTTGCCAAACCAATCACTTATTTTCGGATGGAGGTAGTACATGGCTTAGAGCATCCCCACCGGCGCGACTGTAAACACTATTTTACAGTTCTATCCGGATTATTTACATATTGATATTGATATTACGCTGTAAAGTTAAAATCACTCAGCGGGCACTTAATGGCCTCGGCCGCGATCCGGATTATTTAGTTTTGACAACCCCACCGGGCGACTGTAAAATACAGGAAACTGTATAATTTTACCGCGAGACTGCAAATCGGTCAGATTTACAGTCGCGACTGTAAGATACAGTTTAGACGAATTAGCCAATAACATGCTATCAATGGATAATTTTGTCCAATCATCGGTATCATGTACCTGTAGTTGACAGCAAGCCAATACAATAATCACTTTCCTTTGAGCAAATGGATCCTTCAAACGCGCTCGTGGCTCACACTTCACTAAACTCGTCAAGTGCATTAGCAGCCCAACCAAAGCACAACCTTCGCTGAGCAGTGACACAAGTTTTCATGTGTGAATGACTGATTTTCCTTACTCCATCAATCATTCCTTACTCCATCAATCAACACATTAAAACAGTCGTCATTCTCAACCGCATCGTCCATGGTGAGTCTATACAGTACCTACAGTATAACGACCTTGACCAACTAAAGCGCGTGTGAGCTTTGCTCCCAATTCTGTAAATTGACTGTGAGACCGAAATAGTCAGTCCCAACATTGTCGGGCATCTTCGGCCTGCCTGACTATCCAGGTACAGGTTGGAATGACGGCCTACTATTGACTATGTAGGGCGGGAAGGTGGTCAAGGATCTCTCACAAGTGAATTCCACGTCATCACAAACTTATGCTTCTGGGTCATGCAAACTTATGCCTCCGGGTCCATGACTACATTGAATTCTAGACTGTATTATGAAGGGATGCGAAGATGTATTCATAAATAGACCTCTTGACGTATGATAGCGTCAAACGGTAAAAAATCCGCATAATTGAAGTCACAAGTCGACGTCGGTGATGGTTTCCTGCAATCTGATTGGCTAAATTCTATACATTTGGTTGTGTCGATTCATTCTCCATGTCGCTCCAGTTTACTACTACTGTAGTATGGTGCAAGTCATCTAAAGACTACAAAAAAATGACGTGGCTTTCGACGACTGTTCCAACTTTGTATTGATATTGTTTAGGAGCACTTATCCGTAGGAACGTTTCCATGGTATCCGGATGATTCGGGAGGTTTACAGTTAACCTAATTATAATTTGCCCATTGTTTTATCGCACTAATCAATGGATGACAAAATAAATTAAAACCACACGTTAAACAACGCAAATCGAGAGTCTGGCACATGAGTGAGCTAAATAAAGTCAAGTCGTTATTTACTAGACCATCTCACTCGCAAAGTGGACGAGACCAACACGCAGCGCGATCGATTGAACGTCGCGTTCCCATCGTGTTGAATCTTTTTACGCTACATCGTGAGAATCCAAGTATGAGACGAACGACGTCAACTTCAATGCCATAAACTTGGACAAGCACAACACATCGGTAGCTATGTCCTGACAGCCAGTATACGTATAGTAGTACATGTCAGTGCCCAAATCTACTTGTTAGTCGTCCTTTTTAGTTTTGCCAAGGGAGGGCGACTGACGAGCCGAGTAAACGACGGAGCAGCTAGCCATTGCAGAGCAAAAGTAGCCCAACGCTTGGAAGCCGTAAGCATGGAGCAACATTGTCCCCAACGTCGGTGCAACGAGGCCACACGCACTGCGACTGGCGTGGCTGAGGCCGATGGCAGTTGCTCGATCGTCCTTGCTGGCTCCTTTCGACATTTGGGAGGATAGGACTGTATACGCAATGGCGGACGCGCCACTGAGTAGCACCGTGAGGGCCATCAGGGGCTGCAAAACGCTGGGTCCTAGCTCCAAATTCGCGTATGCGCCAAAGCTGAGGGCAATCAAACCTGACGCCACCAGGGCTACACTTCGTTCAGACCATCGCGACAAGAATAGCTGCAACAGCACGCCGTTGGCAAGAATACTCACCACACCGCTGACGGACATGACCAGCCCAACGCCTTGAGGGTCTAGCACGACAATCAAGCATTCAACCATGAGCAATCCTAGGAAATATGATTCTACGAGTACCAAGAGACAGGTTCTGGCGGAGGATGTCAGAAAATGTACTTCGGTGAAGCGACAGAGCTAGCCCCAGCAACACTTGTGTCGTCAGTGTCCCCCACACCTGTGGCTGTCGAAGGACTTGAACGATTTTGAACACGTCAAGGGAAGTCGTCGTTGTTTTCAATGTGTTGGTTGTTGAAGAGGGGGTTGCAGTGGATATGCCATGGAAAACGACCCAGTTGACGGGGAGGACAGCAGCCGAGAGGACGGCGGCAAGAATCGCAGAGTGTTTGGTCGAGTACGCCACGGACACGACCCCGCCTACGTACGAGCCGAGGACCATACCGACTCCATAGCTCAGACTCAATCGCCCCATTGCAGTGGCACGCATGTTGTCTGGTGCGAGTATGGTCATGGCCGATTGAGCGGCGTGCATTGCATGCATGAACATGGTGGGCAGTTGGCTGAGGAACAGAGTTGGGACGGAGGTTGAAGCCGCCAGAAGTGCATACGAGAGCGAGGCCGCGGCTTGGGACGCACCGAGGGTGATGGAGAAGCCAAAGGTGTCGCAGATTCGACCGGCTAACGGACCACCGAGGAGTTGCAGGAACGAGCAAAACGTTTGAAAGCGAGAGAAGAGCAGCTTGTCGGCGCTTAGCTCTTGCAGCAGGAATGGCAACACAGGCTGCGTCAGCCAGAAAGCGAAGGCATATATGAGTATGTTGCCGTGGATTAACGCCAGGGAGGACGTCGTCCTGTTCGTTGACGTCGGCATTGTGCGAAAGTGCAAACTGACACGATCTTGTTTTGATGGGTAATCCAAAATCGAAACTGAGTTGTGGTTGGCCAAATTGATCAATATTTTAGCCAGTGTTACAGCTTTGACTACAGCACTGCAGCAAATTTTTAACGATCATACTATGTACTACGCAACAGACTACAGTAACTCACTGTACCGAGTAACTTGCACTGGGCACCCAGTGATACCGACAACGAACCACCGCCACGGCAGCACAGCGCCACATCGAGTACAGGACATCCTTATCTACACCTCACAAGGTAAAAATTAAAGAAACAAATAAGTTACTTATATTATATTATTGTGCTTTCGAGTGAAATTTCGTGTTGTGGCGTGGTTTCTCGTTCAAACATAAATCGATTTGATTGGCTACATCAGATGAGCTCAAAATTATTAACCAATCAAAACCTTCTCAATGAAATTCAACCAATCAGATCGATTGTGGATCCGTTTCGTTGGCGCGATTCGATTGCACCCAACATCCCCAAATTTGTATCAAATCGACAATATATAAATTAAATCGCTTAAGGCAATCAATCTGTTACGGCTCGAGGACGCCGCCGTCCTTGGCGAGGCGGTAGAACACGCCTTGGTTGGCGATGAGCGCGGCGGGGGTGTCCATCTCCACGACTCGGCCCGCGTCCATGACCATGATGCGGTCGGAATGCATGATCGTGTGGAGGCGGTGCGCAATCGTGAGCACCGTCGCGTTGGCAAACTCGGTGGCAATCACCTGC